CACACTTGTACAGTCCCACGTCTAGTTCTAAGTCGCACACCGAAGAATTATCGGATACTTATCGGAAATAAAAAGACAGTGGTGAGTTTTGATCGTCTCAAACTAGCTTTTATCTCTCCACCAGAAACTTAGACGTTAGTCACCCCCCTTCGCGGACACCTACACCTCCAGTTGCCACAGCACCATCATCTGTGCCTAGACCCCAGATGCTAGGTGTTCCCCTGCATACACGTTCTGGACGTAAGGACGTCAGTCACACTCCCTCCGTGGGCACCTACACTTCCAGTTGCCACTGCATCATCACCTGTGCCTGGACCCCCAGCATACACTTTCTGGACATAGAAACTGATTTAATCCTCGGTACCTATAATATTGTTGACATTTGAGGGGAGTACTGTGGTGACTCTAAATGAATTTGTGTTTACTCGCCAACCGCGCGATCGCATCTTTAACTGTAACCACAACGAGGATTCGGGATAAAAGTCGCTGTTCCCCCCTCCGACGCAACTATTATCTATGTTAATTTAATGTGCAGTAGTTATGTTATAATTAAAGGTTTTTTTCCTTTCAAATTAGGTTAATGCTTCGGATGTCTAATTAATCATATGGAAATCAAGCCATGCCTCTACATATATTTATGGTAGCACTTAGTACAGCAGTATGCTACACTAGTAAATTCCTCAAGAGATATCGAGAAATCGAGTTGAAGGCAAAAATAGCAGGATTTGTCCATAAAAGCCATTAGAATATAAAAAAGGACCCATACGAAAAAAGCGGCATCGCTTGACTGAAGGCATTTTTGAGCATGGTTGCCTAAAGAATATTTATTCGCATTGTTGCCATAGTTTGGCTCATTTTTAAAAATTTGGCGACTTCTAAGATGTTTCACTCCGAATGCATCGTTCAGGAATCTGGAATCATTGCATCGATTCCATAATTAATGCAATGATGATGGTGATTGCGTAATCAATGCAAGGTTTTAAGACATAATCATTGATTAAACTGGGGATGAGTAATTTTGTTGTCTTAGATCTATCACTTGTTTTTGACTAACGTTTGCCCTCTGGATCCAAAAGTAACTACATTTTTTGTCTATCTCGTAAACTTTTTAACCCTACTGTTTGTTTCAAAAGTTATACATAATAAGCATAAGAAGGAAAATAAAGATAAAACTTATGAAATATAATGTTCACAAAGAATACTTTTATTCACACAAAGGCTATACAGGGTGAATCTGAACAAGACAGCAAAACTTAACGAGGTGTGGAACGCAAGGAGTGAGAAATTAAGGGGACCTTTCTACTGTCCCATTTAAGAATTAACACAACAATGAGAGGAGATACTTAAAAAACATTTTATTAACAGGAATGTAATTGATCTACATGCTAAAAAAATTGCTCAAAAGACCTTCCGCTAGCTGTAATGCAGGCTTCATACCTGCACGATAGAGAATGACGCACATTTTCGAAGACACCAGGCATTTCCGCCGGCAACAACGGCGGCACCACCGGCAACAACGGCGAACCTGACGATTAGATCCATATTTGTTTCAAAGGGGCATTCGTAGAATAGATTTTTCATATGGTCCACAGGAGAAACTTCAAACACAAGAGATCCGGTGATCTTGGTGGCCAAGCTATGGGACCACCGACCTGGAAATTTCATGGTTTGTATAACCAGTCATTGTCTCGGCAATCCACGGTTGAAAACGTCGTTCGATGCGAGGACCGACTCTTTTTATACCATTTTCAATGCCACCTAGCGGCTCGCCGTTTGCGTTTCGATCATACATTCTATGACGAATATTGCTCGTATAGCTGCCTTCTATCATCCCCTAAACTTTCGCCCTCTTGTTCAGATTCACCCTATATATAGTTAAAGAAAGTTAAATTTTGTTCATATGAAGTGTTTCTACCAAACGATAAACATATAAATTAAAGTAAACATTTTTGCTTTGTGGCTTTTTCTGGAGTTTGTAGTCTATAAACATTCTCGCTTGATGCTCCAACAATAGTCCTGTAGATAGGATATCCTGTATACATCCTATCTACTTTGATACCGTGCCTCCATAACCTTCAGATCTTGGTAGAATCGCTCACCCTGTTCATCACTGTCTGCACCAAGATTTTTCGAGAAGTTATCAAGATGGCTGCATAAAAAATGAAGTTTGATGCTCATGTTGCAACCGAGCATTTTGAAGCTCTCTCCAAAAGTTGCTGGTCAATTTTGCTGTAATTCAAAGAAAAGTCTTTGACAATGTTTTGAATGCCAACCAAGCTTTCTTTTGAAGTTCTGTCATCGTTTCGATGAAATGTTTACCTTTAAGAAGCTGCCGAATCTGTAAACCATCAATATATAACGATCTTTCGGTCGATAAGTGGCTGATGTAGAATTTTTCGATCACCAGGTTTCAGGTCAGATCTTAGCGGCCACTTCGAGTGAACCCAATTTTTTTCACGAGTTCTGCTGTCCCATATTCATAAGAAATAGTGATACTTAATATATCCGCGTTATCCGCTTAATATATCCACGGAGGAAGCAGACCATTTCAAGGTCACCGCAGATGATTAGTGAATATGATATTGAAATTATAAGGTATTTCTCCCGCCTTCTTAGTGAGCCTTCGTGGTCTAGTGGTCTGCACGCTCAGCGCGTAATTGAGAGGTCCGCGGTTCGATTCTCGGCGAAGGCGTTGCTAATTTTTCATCTTGCGTGTTTCCAAAAAAAAAAAAAAAAAAAAAAACCTAATGTCTCTACAATGCCAATGACTTTCTTTATATCTTCATGTTTTTCCCATAAATAAACTGAATAGTCTATTGGGACTGAACAAAATAAATTTCCGTTGTGAAAGGAAACATATTTCAAGCTTCGCTTTCAGCCACCGACGAACAATCGTCATTGAGTTGCGTTATAGGCTGAAATCCTCAGCCTTTCCAATTAAACCATGTACGCTATGACAATACACAAATCCATCGTCACTTCGAGCGTATTGCCGAAACGCATTTTCTCTTGATCGAAAGTAAGACGCCTTAGTTGCTTTTTCAAGCAAGTTTTTCTTGCGCTGTCTTAATGTAACAGCTCTTAAGCCTTTTCCCAAATCGCGTAAAGTCATTTAGCTCATCCTGGTCAAATCCCTTATGACAGGAATTATCTTTAATTTCAAAATCTTCGTCGTTGGGATCAATTCGATTTTCACCAGAATCGTATTCCTGTATTTCCAACGAGGGTAATTCTTGAAAACTGGCACTGGGCGTATAGCTCATGACAACTAAAATAACTTATTTTACATTTTTCTTGTTATCTCCTGACGTTTTTATTATGCAAAAGTAACAGTCACGGGAATGATCTTTGGGCTCTCACCAAATAATATGAAATCATGGGAATCTCGCCGAATGGAAATTTAGAACGCGTCCTCTTCATCCACATCCGTATACACTCGACGCACTGCTCGTATATCTTCTGAGGGACTCATGATTTATCTTGATAACAAGTTTTCATTTTAAAATAGGCAAAATAGGCTTGCATGACAAATGTACTGTAACTGATGTTTGTTCTTTGATTGGGAATAGTAAAACTGCCACATTTATAACAAAACGTTTCGAGGATGTTTAAGCACTTACGAAGAGAACTAAGCAGAAGCAGACATAAGAAAATTCACATATAAATAAAAACTAAACACTGCTGGCGTTGTATACAACCAAGAACTCGGACTGCACGTCGGAATGCGCTTCACTGTATCAGAGCGTCACACAACGTCTAACTGCAGCATCACAGGCATAACTGAACAAGTCTAGACGAGTATGTATCTGTCGCTGGTCTCCTACGACGTCATTCATACGGCGCAAGTCGGTGGGTTTATATAAGACAGAAAACAGTAGTACTTCCTTTGATACACGCTCGATGCCGCGGAGAGCATAATTCATAAGTGCATCTCAGTATCGCAACTGAGAGAAGAGCTTCTAGAACTGACTAGTGAGTTTCGAGTAATACTGTGTCGCTGATCCTTGCTTGAAGCATCCTAAAAACAGGATGGTTGAAATTTTCTGCCGCTAAATTTTTTTCTACGAAATAATTAAAACATCATGGATTCCTCGTAAAAATTTCCAATACGAAATTAGATCAAATGTAATAATTGTGAAGATTTCTCTACCTAGTTGAAAGATTTTTTAAGAGATTACAATTGCGTGCTGTACAGTGCGAAACAAATATGAAAGAAATTGTAAACATTAGATTTCAAGGAATCAATATTACAAGAGTTTTTTTTTTAATTATTATTTTTCCCACTGGCGGGCACCTCGGCCGATTTCGTCTTGGCTACTACCAAAGCCAGAAGCGGTGGTTACTTTATTATAGAGGTGCTTAATAGGTGGCCACCTTTTCCTCCGGTGAACGGACGGACAAATACAACCATGCCTTTTCCGGGATTCGAAACCGAGCCCTTTGGTATCGCAGTCGACTTCCGTAACCACTATACGGTCTGAGCGGCACATTACAAGAGTAGTAGAGCCTCTTTCTTCTCCACCCGAAGTTCCTCCCACGGTTGCGATGCCGATGTGCATTTAAGAATTATGTCCGCAGAAAATGGTCACATCCACATAAGGTGTAGAATAAAAAAAACTTGATGTGGTACAAGAAAACTAACTGCAGTTTTGAAATCAGCATCCCTATTTAACTCTGAAACAGCTTAAAACTCGAAATCAACAGAAACTGTGTTACAAATTGCTTCCCAGTATTACGTCATTCATTAGCTTATTTTGTTATCATTTCCAATTAGGGAAACGTCGCATTAATTATATTTGTTACTAAGTGATTTTGCCATGCTTTCTAATTAGTGAAAACTTTACATTGATTATGTCTTTCAGTTTCCGCTTTTATTATCTTTTTCTTTTAAACAGCTTTCCTTTGTGGTTTTAGAATGTTAACATAACTACCCATTAATTTAAAAAAAAAAAAAAAAAAAAGCCATTTTATGATATTTGTAATTCCTCTTTTATTTTCAGCACGACAGGCTGTTTGAACTTCCAGACATCGACCGTGAGTATTATTGCTTGTAATACGCACTATGTTTTTTCCTGCTGTGTGCCTGACTGTTTTTGCCAACTGATTGTTCCTTTTCTTATGAATGTAGTCAGTGATTATGACACTTTTGGATATCCGCTGCATGGAAATTTGAGCCTTCGCCGTGCGGCAGTTGCTACAGGTCATCAAAGTGAGCTGGGACCGGATATCTCAGTGCATGACGAGCAGGCCAATTACATGGCTTTATGCAGAGGAGAAAGACTCAGGGTAAGAAAATTACATAATTAATTGGATAGCGTAATGAAAGGTATTTCAAGTAAAATATTCTTCAAATAGAATAAATAGGTAGTTGTCTATAGTTTTATGAAAGATGTAGCTCGACAGCGCCAAACGCAACCTTGGCTGGCATTCTACCAAAATTCTTAGGATCGTCCAAGAGGATGTTAATTAAGTGCCGTAGTGTGACGAGGGCACATGAGAGTTTGCTTTTCATGGTAAAGAGGGAATCACTATCGAAGAAGGTAAAGTCTCATGGGGTGATCCTGTTGCCTTTGTTGCCGTATTTTGCGCTTTTATTTCGTATTTACGGAAATAAATACGAAGATCATGTGTAGCACTGGGAAAAAATGTTGAATATTTTTCATAACATATGAATTTTACGTGAACAGTGCATTTTCATTGCTTACTTTTAAAAATAATTCTAAAAATAATAGAACTATATTTTTAGTAGAAATATTCTTTTTTTAGTTTTAAAAAAGTCAACAAATATCTACCCCATTTCAGCAGAATCTTCCCTGAATAGTAGTTGATTTAACACCATTTGCCAGTATTGTGATCTTCTATTCGTATGTAAGAGTTTTTTTCGTTCTTTGTCTAAATAAATTTGTTTTTTTACCACCCCCATTTCAACTATGTGTAATAATGCATATAGATTTTAGCCTAAAAATTAAAAAGAAATATAGTTATTAAGATATTATAAATTAAAAAGAAATATAATTAATTATAATAATTTAATTAAGTTATTTAATTAATTATAATAATATCTTTGGAACTATTCTGATATGCGCCCTCAAGTCGCCAAATTTCTCGCCAAATATTTTTTGGCGAGAAACTTCACGCTGCCATATTACTATCTAAATTTTTTGTCTACATTTTGAACTTTTAGCCTAAAATGTCTGCAAAAACTACGTTTTGAACACACAATTTAGCTAAAAATCCGAAACAAAAACAAAAAATTTAAAATAGCAAAAACGTAAAGTTTCTAACCAAAAATATTTGACAAGAATCCAAAAAAACATCTACGAATTGCACAATGTAGGCAACGAACGAATCTACAAACTACGCACACCTCGCTTTAATAAATTAACATAACAACAATAAATTTCAAAGAATACCATGTACACAGCATCCTGTTTAAACTTGTTTTAGTTCAGGAGAACGAAAGATATATAATTATTAATTACAGTATTATTGTAATAATTATTTATTATCTTAAAATTATGTATATGTAGCAAAATTAAACTTTGAAAACACTCATATTTATACCAATATATAAATAAATACATAAATGACCAAAATTAAGCACAATGTAATTAAATAATTAGATATAAATGATAATCAAAATATTATCTGAGCTTATAAAAGTAATTTTCTGCCTCTTTAAATGTATGCTCTTTGAATTCAATGAAAATAAACAGGGAAAAAATAACGGAAAAAATCCCTACTACATGTCTATTTATCCTATTTCGTCAATAAATCGGTTCGAATGCGTGTTTATGTTATGCTCATGGTCGCCGCTGGCGTGTAAACTATAGCCAACTTAAGATTGCTTCAGATTTGAAGTACAGGCACCTTCTTTATGATAAACAATTTTTAACCTGAAAAAGTTATCACCTTAAGGTTTTGCACCCTTGCCTTAGCGTAACCTTAGTTTACCGTTTTCATTAATAAAGCAAACGAAACTCTCTGTTATGTGCACTTTTAAGAAGTTGCATTTACGATTTCAAAATAACTGTACTTAATGTTGCAATAATATTTCTGGCACCTTTATATGCCCGGGCAACTCGGGAGAAGGTTTCTTGCTTGGCCAACGCTGACTGATCTGCTCAAGAGTGTTGGCAGCATTATGGAAGTTGGCAAGTATCATTCTTGACGGTCACGACACTTTTAGGAAAGTCGGGTTTTTAATTTGAAACATATATAGATATACCTATATATGTATGTGACTAATTTGGTTTATATATATATATATGTGTGTGTGTGTGTGTGTGTGTATAAGATATAACAAAATACGATAGCTGCTTTAAAAATAATTGGCGAATTCAAAATTAACGATTCTAGATTTGGTGCTCTCCCCTAAATTCAACTGTTCTCCCAAATACGAGATCCTACCATGATTATATAACAACCTAAAATTAACCAATCATAGCTTAGAGTACTTTCTGTGGGTGCTTAATATAAATACCGCTCGCAAACAGACTGCGTCATCTTCTCCTAGCTTCCGTCACGCCGAAATCCACGTTGCTTTGCTTGTCCGTCTAAAATGATATCGCCCCGTTAATCTGTATATATAAGAAATTATTGTAATTGTTTATGATAAAAAAATATATCGTCTACGAAGAATTAATTTATTTTGCCCGAAATAAAGATGGTAATTAGCTGAACTTTGTTTGGTATCAACATCTTTGTCCCATCTTGCCGCTTTGCTACCACAACTACTCGTCAAAAATATGACATATATATAATCTTCTTAAAAATTCTGTTATTTCTTGGCTAGGTGGATTTTGCTTTGCTGTTTGATTAAACAAAAATCATACTTATGTCAATATGCCCGCATTTATAAGGCAGTTGCATTTTTAAGAAAAAAAAAATCCATTTTTGTTTCGCCCCCCTTCTGCGCCGAACGGCATCTTTATGAAGATTCTGTTTCTTGACCAGCACTGACTCAAGCATGTTGTCAAGCTATATTCTTATAAACAATTAATAGCGTTTTACAAACTCGGAGAACTTAATAAGTTTTCCTGGAAGATTTCTGAAGGTGCCAGAATTTTAGAAGAAATCAAATGCAGGTTAAAGCATTCAGCACTTCTGTATTATCCCGTCGACAATGAAACTGTCGCCAAGCAGCGCGAATAAGAGCAACATAATAATACATTCATACCCCCCAACTGATTCTCGATGAGCCACGTTTCGTTTTTATGACCAATGATATAAATAATTATTATTGCTGTATTTCCTTTTTTTTGGAGGGGGGGATTATTCAAATCTGAGATCTAGCTTCTACAGAATAAACGAGCAGTAGATTATTTTCAAAGGTATGAAGTTCTACATCAAAAAAAGTTTTTATTAATGGACGCTATATAATTAGCTGAATATAGCCGATGCAGGAATTTTTAACAGCGTTCTAAACAGAGGTTCCAGTAAAATCGGGGGGTGGGGGGCAAATAAAGTAGTAGAAACAGACGGAAACCTTTTTACGAAGTTAAAAAATGGAACTGGTCGACTATTGACTGCTTATTAAATAAAGAGGCATCCGTTCATTCTGAATTCCCAGGAATTGAGTGGGCGATCTCTACCAACTTTCATGGATAGGCAGAATCTTCTACTTTCATGGTTCGATGAAAGCCAGCTTTCACGGTTGACTGGATCATATATAAGCACCAAGCAGCCGTCATATAGATTCCTGAACTTTTATGAAGGTTGCTTAGTTGATTAATTAGGTATACAAAAATACCTGTTTATGTTCACAACTGTAAGATAGTTGCTTGTCGCTGTGACTTGTGTCCAACTAGTGGTTGGGAGGTTAAGGTCGCTGAATGCTGGTAGATTCGACCCAGATTTGAATCCCAGCGAAGACTTGGATGTTTGAAAATCGTTAGTACCTTTGCAGCATGAAGGCACTTAAACTACATAGAGAGGCAAATGTCCTCTAGAGTGGTTTGTGACTGGGTGAGAGGAGTGGGAGATTCTTGGACACTAATTTATATGTGTGTAGAGCATTAAATGTTGTGCAAAAGCATACAGTGTTGCTTATTGATTGGTCTTCAGTGTCAGTATTATGGAAAATGGTTTGTTTCTATTATATATTTCTTTCCCTTCTTGCATTCTTATTGACACTGCACAATGTTTGGCAACATTTATAACATGCATGTAGCTGCAACTGATATCAATATCACAATGTATTTGCACTACTTCTGTTACATTTTGGAGTATATATTTGATTGGTTTTCTGTTTACTTCAGTTATTCTACTTGGTTCAGACCTAATTGTTCAACGTATTTTCTGATTATGCATCTTATTTTGCTTGCACATACATTCATTTTTATTTGTTGAGTTGTCTTCTATTTTAGAATATTGTTCATCTATGCACAAATACAGTGTAATATTAGTTGCTGGATACACAGGCAACTCTTATGCCTACCTGATCTGTCATTTTGGCTTTTGCTAGACGTTTTGTATTTACGAAAATCCATTGTTGGTGGGGCATGTTAGCTGTATTCTCAGTTGCTGGTAAGCTGCTCTCAGAGACAGATTAACACTTTCAGAGGATCTTTAAGTACTTAAAAGATTTTGGTGCTCTCAATATATTTACGTCAGTTGTTTCTTCATTCCTTCTCTCTCTTGTTTTTATTACTGGCAATGGGAAATTTGTTTTTCTCTCTTGTTTTTGTTACTGGTAATGGGAAATTTGTTTTGGTAAATAACTAAGGATATATTTTATTATATAGTATTTGAATAGAGCATGTGGCACCGATTAGAGAATTCTTCAAATGATATAAATTTGTGCATTCCGAGTTATAATAAATGCCTAAACATTTCAGCGTTTACTCGGTGTTTGCAGATCAAATTTTAAGAATTTCTAATGTATTATTATTGCAATGGAACTAATAGCTGAGTAAAAATAATCTCGGAAAGGGAAAGTTGTAAATTCTAAAAAATCTGGTGTGTACACCACATGACTTCCTTGTATGGAATATTAAATCATGCCCTTTTTTTTCTTGCATTTCATTTAAACTTATTGGATTGAATTAAATTTACTTCGTCAATAGAGCATAAACCACAATAGAATAAATGCACTCTTTAAAATTCACTATATTTGCTTATCATAGCGACACTCTGTTGCTATGTTCACTTAACAGCGTTATATTTCGTTCATATTATAACTCGGAATGCACAAATTTATATCATTTGAAGAATTCTCTAATCGGTGCCACATGCTCTATTCAAATACTAACTATATAATAAATCTAGAACGATGTATAAAATAA